TTTCTGTGAGGTCCTGGGGGAGGGAAAATCCTTCAGCCAGGAAAACAACGTGGCACAAAGTGGGGATGACCCTGCTGAGGTTGCGGTGCCTCAAATATTGGAAGAAGTCACCCCCTGTGAGTGGCTGGCTGAGGTGCCATCTGTTGAGGAAGTACTGAAGGCGATCCGGAGTTTGAGACCAGGAAAGGCAGCGGGCAGAGATGATCTCCCAAGTGAAATTCTGAGGGAGGGTGGCATTTGTGCACAGACTGCCCTATATGACATCATAACAACAGTCTGGACCACTGGACGGGTTCCGCAGGATTGGAAGGATGCCCTAGTGGTCCCCCTCTTTAAGAAGGGGGACCGCACAGACTGTAATATCTACAGGGGCATCTCACTACTCAGTGTGCCGGGAAAGGTCCTGGCAAGGATTATTCAACATCGCCTTGCCAGGCACGCTGAGGAGAGGCTTGCGGAGCCCCAATGTGGTTTCAGGAAAGGGCGGTCCTGCACAGATGCCATATTTTCTATCCATCTGCTACAGCAGAGGTGTAGGGAATTCCAGCAAGACCTACATCTCTGCTTTATTGACCTGGTCAAGGCCTATGATACCATCAGTAGGCCTGGGCTCTGGGTTGTTCTTCGTGCTTTTGGAGTCCCTGACCCTCTGCTCACGATCATTATGAACCTTCATGATGGTGAGCGGGCCCGGGTAAAACTACGTGGCCGGGAGTCAGAGCCATTCCCTGTATACCTTGGGGTGCGACAGGGATGTCCTCTGGCTCCCACATTATTTAACATCTATTTTGACCACGTAGTTCGTGAAGCCTTCAATAGCTGTACCGGGGGAATCTCCATATGGTACAGATATAATGGGAGGCTGATCGATGCCCGGGTGCGGTCAAGGGATGGCTCCCTATTGCTCAACCACGTTATGTATGCCGATGATTTGGTAATAGCTGCTCATTCAGAGGAGGAGTTGGAGACGCTGCTGCTGAGACTGGAGCGTGCCACTAAGAGATGGGGCCTTACCATCAGCCCCACCAAAACTAAGCACCTGCCTGGGTATTTTGTACCATCGGACACTCCACCCCCACAACTCCCAATCGGTGATGGGGCAGTTGTGGAGAGAGTGGAGAGTTTCCCATACCTGGGCAGTGTGCTTATGACCGGCTCCAGTTTAACAGCAGTAGTCTCACTCCGAATCATTCTTCTGGTCCAACACCAGTGGAGACTGGGCTCTAAGAAAAGCCGTCTCGGGTGTGGACCAATCAAATTCAAGGACAGTGCATATCATTATCAGAGTTGTCTTTTTTGTTTGCATTTTGACTGCTTGTGTTGTGGTTATTGCAAACATAATGCCTTGTATAAAGGTGTCAGTTTTTTGTGCCAGATAAAAGGGTAAAAACCTATTACTATACATTGTATAATATCGTATCCATAGACAAACTTGTTGACTTTTGAGTTGAAGCTATCGTGTTTCCCTTCAACGTGACTTTACCGAAAAAACCAAGAATATAAACTCGTTGACTGTTTATAAAAGTTAATTCACGCTAAGATGCCAGCTAGCAACCTCAGCAAAGATGAGCATTTTGAATTATATAAATTAAAAAGAGGGATGACATTGTAATCCTCTCAGCTGACAAGGGCAATGCCACTGTCATCATGGATAAAATAGAATATAACAACAAAATTCAAGAATTACTCAACGATGGCAGCTACACAAAAATAAAAATAAATCCCACCAACAGCCTCGTCCTACAAACCAACAAAATCATTTCTGATTCAACCGCAATAATTGATCAATCTAAACAGTTCCCGTTAAAACCTTCAGCTGCCAGGCCACCAAGATTATACGCCTTTCCAAAAATGTGTAAAGTAGATACACCCCTTCGTCCCATCGTCTCTACTATCAACTCCCTCACCTACAAACTGGCTTGCTTTCTGTCTGAAAACCTGCGGCTTTTCACTGGAAAAATCACCTCTGCGGTACTAAATTCTACTCACCTGATGTGGTGTCCTTATTCGCCAAAGTTCCTGTACCTGACACATCGCAATCATTGAAGACTTGGTTCATCAAGGACTAAACACTGAGGTACCCCCCCCTGGTGAGACACTGTTTAACCAATACATACTTCACTTGGAATGGAACTTTCTACAAACAAACTGAGGGCACCCCAATGGGCTCCCCCCTATCTCCGGTTGTAGCCAACATTTTCATGGAGAAATTTGAGACTGACGCCATCCAGACTGCCACTCTGCGCCCAACCTTATGGAAGAGGTACGTGGATGACACTTTTGTCATCTGGCCACATGGCCGGCCTGCTCTAGACCAATTCCTCGACCACATCAATTCCATACACCCAGCCATCAGATTTACCATGGAAGTCGAAAAAGATGGCAAGCTACCCTTTTTTGGATGTCCTAATAAAAAAGAGACCTGGTGGTTCAATGAGCCACTCTGTCTACAGGAAAGCTACCCATACGGATGCTTACCTGAAACCGGATTCCCACCACCATCCATCCCAGAAGAATTCCCTCATCAAGACTCTGCACCATAGAGCCCAATGCTATCCGACCAGGAACACATAGCCAGTGAACTCAAGCACGTACACCAAGCCCTTAAGGCTAATTGTTACTCCGACTACACAATCCGCAAAGCTATCACTCCAACCATGAAGAAGGACCCTCTTGAGAAGCCTTTCAAAACCATCACTTTAACCTACATTGCGGGGATCACAAAAAAGATCTCCAAAATCTTGAATAAACACAAGATCCAGGTCCGTTTCAACACATTACATAAAATCCGTGATCTGGTTCTGTCTGTAAAAGATGTGATTCCGGACATACAGTACCCTGGCGTCTACAAACTAAGTTGCCTCTGTGGTAGTAGTTACATTGGAGAAACCAAACGACATGTCTCGGACCGCATTCGTGAACACAAAGCAGACCTAAAACACGGTAGGACCAACACCTCGGCCGTGGCAGATCACTGTTATAATTCAGTAGGCTCACATGACATTGACTTCTCCAAGACAGAGGTTCTTTTGCAAGCCATCTGGCTACCATGAGAGATTCGTTCATGAGGCTATCCACATATACAAACACAGAGACAATTTCAACCGAGAAGATGGATTCTGGCTTAGCAATCATTGGAAGGATTTGATAAACCATTTCGGGTCTTAATTGATTGTTCACGCTTACGGTGGCTTTCAGACCGCATCCATTATTTTCGTCTCCCCCCTCCTCTTTTCCGAACATAGATGGACTCGTCCATTTGAATAACTTCCAAATCGCTCTCTGTGGTGCTAACGTTAAAAATAAACGCCGTTTTTTTCAAATGTTCTTGCTGTGGTTTTCACACCTGGTGATGATTGCTTGTGTTGCAGTCGAAACGTCGTGAGAATTGTATTGTTTTCCAGTTCTATTATTTTATTGTTTCCCTTCTACGTGACTTAACCGAAAGAACCAATAATATACATGTTGTCTGTTGGTGAGTGAGGTGAGTGGATGAGTTTCTGGGTTAGTGAGTGGATGAGTTTATGGGTTAGTGAGTGGATGAGTTTCTGGGTTGGTGAGTGAGTGGATGAGTGAGTGGGTGATTGAGTGAGGGGATGAGTGAGTGAGTGGGTGAGTGGATGATTGAGTGAGTGGGTGAGTGGGTGATTGAGTGAGTGGATGAGTGAGTGGGTGAGTGGGTGAGTGGATGAGTGAGTGAGTGGAAGAGTGAGTGAGTGGGTGAGTGAGTGGGTGATTGAGTGAGTGGATGAGTGAGTGAGTGGATGAGTGAGTGAGTGGATGAGTGAGTGGATGAGTGAGTGAGTGGGTGAGTGAGTGAGTGGGTGAGTGAGTGGATGAGTGAGTGAGTGGGTGAGTGAGTGAGTGAGTGGGTGAGTGGATGAGTGAGTGAGTGGGTGAGTGAGTGAGTGAGTGGGTGAGTGGATGAGTGAGTGGGTGAGTGGATGAGTGAGTTAGTGAGTGGGTGAGTGAGTGGGTGAGTGAGTGGATGAGTGAGTGGGTGAGTGGGTGGGTTGACTGAGTGGTTGAGCGAATGGGTGGGTGATTTGATGGATGAGTAGGTGTGAGTGACAGCAGATGGGTGAGTGAGCAAGTGTGAGGGGGGGGGTGAGTTGATTTCACATCACCCACCCACCCACACCACCCTCCCCCCACCCATACCCCCCACCCTCCCCCCACCCTCTACACCCACCCACACCCCCCACACTCCCCCCACCTTCTACACCCACCCACACACACCACCCTCCCCCCACCTTCCACACCCACCCACACTCGCCACCCTCCCCCCACCTTCTACACCCACCCACACTCACCACCCTCCCCCCCCCACCTTCTACACCCACCCACACCCCTACCCTCCCCCCACCTTCTACACCCACCCACACTCACCACCCCCCACCTTCCCCCCACCTTCTGCACCCACCCACACTCACCACCCTCCCCCCACCTTCTGCACCCACCCACACTCACCACCCTCCCCCCACCTTCTGCACCCACCCACACTCACCACCCCTCACCCTCCCCCACACCACCCTCCCCCCACCCTTCCCCCCACCTCCCCTACCCCCCCTCCCCCAGCTCCCCTCCCCCCACCCTCCCCCCACCTCCCCTACCCCACCCTCTCCCCCACCCACGTGGTTCCGCAGTTGTAGCTAACACGTGGGGTAGAGGTCTCAGCCACCAAACACCTCGCCAGCTACCACACCAAACACCTCGTCAAACACCACACCAGCTACCACGCCAGCTACCACACCAGCTACCACGTCAAACACCACGCCAGCTACCACACCAGCTACCACGTCAAACACCACGCCAGCTACCACACCACACCAACCACCACGCCAGCTACCACGCCAGCTACCACGCCAGCTACCACACCAAACACCACGCCAGCTACCACACCAAACACCACACCAACCACCACGCCAAACACCACACCAACCACCACGCCAAACACCACGCCAGCTACCACACCAAACACCACACCAACCACCACACCAAACACCACACCAGCTACCACACCAAACACCACGCCAGCTACCACACCAAACACCACGCCAGCTACCACACCAACTACCACACCAACTACAACATCAATCACCACGCCAGCCACCACGAGAACGAGGGTAGTAGTCTAATCATTGATCGCGGTAACATTGCGGTAATGTCGAGTGCGAGTTAACACGTTGACCGGTTGGTAGCAGCACGGATACCCCTAGCACACACACACGGGGAGAGAGACACGGAGAGAGAGAGAGACACGGGGAGAGAAAGAGACACGGGGAGAGAGAGACACGGGGAGAGAGAGACACGGGGAGAGAGAGAGAGAGACACGGGGAGAGAGACACGGGGGGAGAGAGAGAGACACGGGGAGAGAGAGAGACACGGGGAGAGAGAGACACGGGGAGAGACACGGGGAGAGAGAGACACGGGGAGAGACACGGGGAGAGAGAGACACGGGGAGAGAGAGAGACACGGGGAGAGAGAGAGAGAGACACGGGGAGAGAGAGAGACACGGGGAGAGACACGTGGAGAGACAGAGAGAGACACGGAGAGAGAGACACGCGGGGAGAGACACACGGGGAGAGACACACGGGGAGAGAGAAACGGGGAGAGAGACACGGGGAGAGAGACACGGGGAGAGAGACACGGGGAGAGAGACACGGGGAGAGACAGAGAGAGACACGGGGAGAGACACGGAGAGAGAGACACACGGGGAGAGACACACGGGGAGAGACACGGGGAGAGAGAGACACGGTGAGAGACACGGAGAGAGAGACACAGGGAGAGAGAGACACGGGGAGAGAGACAGAGTGAGTGACAGAGTGAGAGAGACAGAGTGACAGAGTGGCAGTGAGAGTGGCAGAGTGAGAGAGAGAGAAACAGAGTGATAAGAGAGTGATAAGAGAGTGAGTGACAGAGTGATTGACAGAGTGAGTGACAGTGAGAGTGGCAGAGTGACTGAGTGAATGACTGAGTGAGTGACAGAGTGAGAGAGACAGAGTGACAGAGTGAGTGACAGAGTGAGTGACAGAGAGAGTGACATTGAGAGTGACTGAGTGAGAGACAGTGAGAGTGGCTGAGTGACTGAGTGAGAGAGACAGAGTGAGTGACAGTGAGAGTGGCTGAGTGACTGAGTGAGAGAGACAGAGAGACAGAGTGAGAGACAGAGTGAGTGACAGTGAGAGTGGCTGAGTGACTGAGTGAGAGAGACAGAGTGAGAGTCAGAGAGACAGAGTGAGAGACAGAGTGAGTGACAGTAAGAGTGGCAGAGTGACTGAGTGAGAGAGACAGAGTGAGAGTCAGAGAGACAGAGTGACTGAGAGAGACAGAGTGAGTGACAGAGAGAGTGACATTGAGAGAGACTGAGTGAGAGAGACAGAGTGAGAGTCAGAGAGACAGAGTGACTGAGTGAGAGAGACAGAGTGACATTGAGAGAGACAGAGTGACTGAGTGAGAGAGACAGAGTGAGTGACATTGAGAGAGAGAGTGAGAGTCAGAGAGACAGAGTGACTGAGAGAGACAGAGTGAGTGACAGTGAGAGTGACTGAGTGAGAGTCAGAGACAGAGTGACTGAGTGAGTGACAGTGAGAGAGACAGAGTGACTGAGTGAGAGAGACAGAGTGAGTGACATTGAGAGAGAGAGTGAGAGTCAGAGAGACAGAGTGAGAGTCAGAGAGACAGAGTGACTGAGTGAGAGAGACAGAGTGAGTGACAGTGAGAGAGACAGAGTGAGTGACAGTGAGAGAGACAGAGTGAGTGACAGTGAGAGTGACAGAGTGACTGAGTCAGAGAGACAGAGTGAGTGACAGTGAGAGAGACAGAGTGAGAGTCAGAGAGACAGAGTGACTGAGTGAGAGAGACAGAGTGACAGTGAGAGAGACAGAGTGACAGAGTGAGTGACAGTGAGAGTGACAGAGTGACTGAGTGAGAGAGACAGAGTGAGTGACAGTGAGAGTGGCTGAGTGGCTGAGTGACAGAGTGAGTGACATTGAGAGTGAGAGTCAGAGAGCGTTCAGACGGTCGACGAGCAGAGGCGGCGAGCCGGCAGTGTTTTGTTGTTGTAGCGACTCAGCAGACATTGCCGTTCAACCCGAACTGAGGGGCAATGTTGGAGGGTCTCGTGGCGTGGATAATCAACACGTACGTCGGGAAGTACGTCGAGAATCTCAACACCGACCAGCTCTCCCTCGGCCTCCTGCGGGGTGAGTCTCGGCGCGCCGCGGCTGGGGGTTCTAGGAAAGTCGGGAAAAGCCTTTTGTGTAGGCCTCAACACTAACGTGGGGAAGTACGTCGAGAATGTCAACACCGACCAGCTCTCCCTCGGCCTCCTGTGAGGTGAGTCTCACCGCGGCTAGGGGGCCTAGGAAAGTCGGGAAAAGCCTTTCGTGTAGGCCTCAACACATACGCGGGGACGTACGTCGAGAATCTCAACACCGGTCAGCTCTCCCTCGGCCTCCTGCGGGGTGAGTCTCGGCGCGCCGCGGCTGGGGATACTAGGAAAGTCGGGAAAAGCCTTTTGTGCAGGCCTCAACACGTACGTCGGGAAGTACGTCGAGAATTTCAACACCGACCAGCTCTGGTCTCGGCCTCCTGCGAGGTGAGTCTCACCGCGGCTAGGGGACCTAGGAAAGTCGGGAAATGCCTTTCGTGTAGGCCTCAACACATACGCGGGGACGTACACGTCGAGAATCTCAACACCGACCAGCTCTCCCTCGGCCTCCTGCGGGGTGAGTCAAGGCGCGCCGCTGCTAGGGGTTCTAGGAAAGTCGGGAAAAGCCTTTGGTGTAGGCCTCAACACGTACGCGGGGACGTACGTAGAGAATCTCAACACCGACCAGCTCTCCCTCGGCCTCCTGCGAGGTGAGTCTCACCGCGGCTAGGGGGCCTAGGAAAGTCGGGAAAAGCCTTTCGTGTAGGCCTCAATACGTACGCGGGGAAGTACGTCGAGAATCTCAACACCGACCAGCTCTTCCTTGGCCTCCTGCGGGGTGAGTCTCGGCGCGCCGGGGGTAGGGGGCCTAGGAAAGTCGGGAAAAGCCTTTCGTGTAGGCCTCAACACTAACGTGGGGAAGTAGGTCGAGAATCTCAACACCGACCAGCTCTCGGCCTCCTGCGGGGTGAGTCTCGGCACGCTGGTGATAGGGGGCCTAGGAAAGTCGGGAAAAGCCTTTCCTGTAGGCCTCGCGCGACCTCTTAAGGATTGCACGGCTTTAAATATAAAAGCGCATATTACAAGACATTTATTAAAGTTTGCTACCCTTCCCAGGGTGTTAAAGATGTACAAGGTTTGTATTGTTATGAGTATACCGGCGAATTTAGAAGGCAGTGCCTGCGGTACGGCACAAACTTGGGGCTGGTGTTAAGATCTTAATCGCCTTGATTTCCGTAAATGTATTGATTTCCGTAAATGTATTGCTTCGGTATAGATTTGGACGTTCACAATTCCGCGTGGTCCGTCTGAGGTGGAGATGGAGCATTGGAACTACAATTAGTTTGCCATTATAATCAGTAGTGTCTATGGGTTCTGTGTGGTGGTGATGAGTCTATGGGTCTCTGTGTGGTGGTGATGAGTCTATGGGTCTCTGTGTGGTGGTGAGTCTATGGGTCTCTGTGTGGTGATGAGTCTATGGGTCTCTGTGTGGTGATGAGTCTATGGGTCTCTGTGTGGTGGTGATGAGTCTGTGGGTCTCTGTGTGGTGGTGGTGAGTCTATGGTTCTCTGTGTGGTGGTGATGAGTCTATGGGTCTCTGTGTGGTGGTGGTGAGTCTATGGGTCTCTGTGTGGTGGTGATGAGTCTATGGGTCTCTGTGTGGTGGTGGTGAGTCTATGGGTCTCTGTGTGATGGTGAGTCTATGGGTCTCTGTGTGGTGGTGGTGAGTCTATGGGTCTCTGTGTGGTGGTGATGAGTCTATGGGTCTCTGTGTGGTGGTGGTGAGTTTATGGGTCTCTGTGTGGTGGTGGGGAGTTTATGGGTCTCTGTGTGGTGGTGATGAGTCTATGGGTCTCTGTGTGGTGGTGATGAGTCTATGTGTCTCTGTGTGGTGGTGATGAGTCTATGGGTCTCTGTGTGGTGGTGGTGAGTCTATGGGTAATGTATTTAGACATCTCTAAGGTTTATGCACCCTCGGAACGAGTTTGATTAACTCCCTCATTCACCCACCCACCACGAATTGACTCAACCTTTCACTCACCTACTCACTCACCCAGTCACTCACCCACCCACTCACTCACCAACTCACTCACCCACTGACTTATTGACTCACCCAATCACTCACCCACTCATCCACCCACTCACTCACCCACCCACTCACCCCCTCATTCACCCACCCACTCACTCGTTCACTCACGCACTCACTAACCCACTCACCCACCCGCTCAATCACCCACCCACTCACTTAACTACTTACTCAACCACTCACTCACTCACCCTCCCATACACACACTCACTCACCCACTCACTCACCCACCCATCCACACACTCACCCACTTACTCACTCATCCATTCACTCACCCAGTCTCTCACCCACTAACTCATTCTCTGCCGCTGTTACACAGCCCTGCTAGAGGCTACCTGGGGGAGCTTTGTCTGTCTCAGCACTTGCCCCCACAGCCCTGCTAGAGGCTACCTGGGGGAGCTTTGTCTGTGTCTCAGCACTTGCCCCTACAGCCCTGCTAGAGGCTACCTGGGGGAGCTTTGTCTGTGTCTCAACACTTGCCCCTACAGCCCTGCTAGAGGCTACCTGGGGGAGCTTTGTCTGTGTCTCAGCACTTGCCCCTACAGCCCTGCTAGAGGCTACCTGGGGGAGCTTTGTCTGTGTCTCAGCACTTGCCCCTACAGCCCTGCTAGAGGCTACCTGGGGGAGCTTTGTCTGTGTCTCAGCACTTGCCCCTACAACCCTGCTAGAGTCAACCTGGGGGAGCTTTGTCTGTGTCTCAGCACTTGCCCCTTGCCCCTACAGCCCTGCTAGAGGCTACCTGGGGGAGCTTTGTCTGTGTCTCAGCACTTGCCCCTACAGCCCTGCTAGAGGCTACCTGGGGGACCTTTGTCTGTGTCTCAGCACTTGCCCCTGCAGCCCTGCTAGAGGCTACCTGGGGGAGCTTTGTCTGTGTCTCAGCACTTGCCCCTGCAGCCCTGCTAGAGGCTACCTGGGGGACCTTTACCTGTGTGTGTGTCTCAGCACTTGCCCCTCCATCCCTGCTAGAGGCTACCTGGGGGTGCTTTAACTGTCTCAGCACTTGCCCCTGCAGCCCTGCTAGAGGCTACCTGGGGGACCTTTGTCTGTGTCTGCAGGCGAATTGGAACTCGAGAACTTGCCCCTCAAGAAAGATGTCCTCCGAGGCCTCCACCTTCCCTTCGACGTCCAGTCAGGTGGGTGGGTGGATGAGTGGGTGGGTGGGTGGGTTGGTGAGTGGGTGGGTGGGTGGGTTGGTGAGTGGGTGGGTGGGTTGGTGAGTGGGTGGGTGGGTGGGTTGGTGAGTGGGTGGGTGGGTGGGTTGGTGAGTGGGTGGGTGGGTGGGTTGGTGAGTGGGTGGGTGGGTGGGTTGGTGAGTGGGTGGGTGGGGTGGTGAGTGGGTGTGTGGGGTGGTGAGTGGGTGGGTGGGTTAGTGAGTGGGTGGGTGGGGTGGTGAGTGGGTGGGTGGGGTGGTGAGTGGGTGGGGTGGTGAGTGGGTGGGTGGGGTGGTGAGTGGGTGGGTGGGGTGGTGAGTGGGTGGGTGGGGTGGTGAGTGGGTGGGTTGGTGGGTGGGTGAGTGGGTGGGTGGGTTGGTGGGTGGGTGGGGTGGTGAGTGGGTGGGTGGGGTGGTGAGTGGGTGGGTGGGTGGGGTGGTGAATGGGTGGGTGGGTGGGGTGGTGAGTGGGTGGGTGGGGTGGTGAGTGGGTGGGTGGGGTGGTGAGTGGGTGGGTTGGTGGGTGGGTGAGTGTCTCTCTCACCGTGTCTCTGTGCCAGGCTTTGTTAGTAAGGTGTTTCTGTGTCTGTCTCTATGTGTCTCTCTGTCACCGCATCTCTCTCACCGTGTCTCTATCACCGTGTCTCTCTCTCCCCGTGTCTATCTCCGTGTCTCTCTCACCGTGTCTCTCTCACCGTGTCACTCACCGTGTCTCTCACCGTGTCTCTCTTACCGTGTCTCTCTCCGTGTCTCTCTCCCCGTGTCTCTCTCTCTGTGTCTCTCTCACCGTGTCTCTCTCTCACCGTGCCTCTCTCCCCGTGTCTCTCCCTGTGTCTCTCTCACCATGTCTCTCTCACCGTGTCTCTCTCACCGTGTCTCTCTCTGTGTCTCTCTCACCGTGTCTCTCTCACCGTGTCTCTCTCACCGGGTCTCTCTCTCCCCGTGTCTCTCTCTCCGTGTCTCTCTCACCGTGTCTCTCTCTCACCGTGTCTCTCTCACCGTGCCTCTCTCCCCGTGTCTCTCTCTGTGTCTCTCTCACCGTGTCTCTCTCACCGTGTCTCACCGTGTCTCACCGTGTCTCTCTCTCACCGTGTCTCTCTCACCGTGTCTCTCTCACCGTGTCTCTCTCACCGTGTCTCTCTCACCGTGTCTCTCTCCCCGTGTCTCTCTCTCCGTGTCTCTCTCCCCGTGTCTCTCTCTCACCGTGTCTCTCACTCACCGTGTCTCTCTCTCACCGTGTCTCACCGTGTCTCTCTCTCACCGTGTCTCTCTCACCGTGTCTCTCTCCCCGTGTCTCTCTCACCGTGTCTCACCGTATCTCACCGTGTCTCTCTCTCACCGTGTCTCTCTCACCGTGTCTCTCTCTCACCGTGTCTCACCGTGTCTCTCTCTCACCGTGTCTCTCTCTCCGTGTCTCTCTCTCACCGTGTCTCTCTCCCCGTGTCTCCTCGTCTCCAGGCTTAGTCTGCAAGGTGTCTCTCTCTCACCGTGTCTCTCACCGTGTCTCTCTCCCCGTGTCTCTCTCTCACCGTGTCTCTCTCCCCCCGTGTCTCCAGGCTTAGTCAGCAAGGTGTCTCTCTCTCCCCGTGTCTCTCACCGTCTCTCTCACCGTGTCTCTCTCTCACCGTGTCTCTCTCCCCGTGTCTCCTCGTCTCCAGGCTTAGTCAGCAAGGTGTCTCTCTCTCACCGTGTCTCTCATTGTGTCTCTCTCCCCATGTCTCTCTCTCACCGTGTCTCTCTCTCCCCCCGTGTCTCCAGGCTTAGTCAGCAAGGTGTCTCTGCGCGTGCCTCTGAGCGCCGCCCGCTCCCAGCCTTGGCTGCTCCGGGTCACCCCGTGTCTCTCTCACTGTGTCTCTCTCCCCGTGTCTCCCCGTGTCTCTCTCACCGTGTCTCTCACCGTGTCTCTCTCTCACCGTGTCTCACCCTCTCTCTCTCTCACCGTCTCTCTCTCACCGTGTCTCTCTCTCACCGTGTCTCCCCGTGTCTCTCTCTCCCCGTGTCTCCCCGTGTCTCCTCGTCTCCAGGCTTAGTCAGCAAGGTGTCTCTCTCTCACCGTGTCTCTCTCCCCGTGTCTCCCCGTGTCTCTCTCTCCCCCCGTGTCTCCAGGCTTAGTCAGCAAGGTGTCTCTCTCACCGTGTCTCTCCCCGTGTCTCTCCGTGTCTCTCTCTCCCCGTGTCTCCAGGCTTAGTCAGCAAGGTGTCTCTCTCTCACCGTGTCTCTCCCCGTGTCTTTCCGTGTCTCTCTCTCCCCGTGTCTCCAGGCTTAGTCAGCAAGGTGTCTCTCTCTCACCGTGTCTCTCCCCGTGTCTCTCCGTGTCTCTCTCTCCCCGTGTCTCCAGGCTTAGTCAGCAAGGTGTCTCTCTCTCACCGTGTCTCTCCCCGTGTCTCCCCGTGTCTCTCTCTCCCCGTGTCTCCAGGCTTAGTCAGCAAGGTGTCTCTCTCTCACCGTGTCTCTCCCCGTGTCTCCCCGTGTCTCTCTCTCCCCGTGTCTCCATGCTTAGTCAGCAAGGTGTCTCTCTCTCACCGTGTCTCTCCCCGTGTCTCTCCGTGTCTCTCTCTCCCCGTGTCTCCAGGCTTAGTCAGCAAGGTGTCTCTCTCTCACCGTGTCTCTCCCCGTGTCTCCCCGTGTCTCTCTCTCCCCGTGTCTCCAGGCTTAGTCAGCAAGGTGTCTCTCTCTCACCGTGTCTCTCCCCGTGTCTCTCTCTCCGTGTCTCTCTCCCCGTGTCTCCCCGTGTCTCCCCGTGTCTCCAGGCTTAGTCAGCAAGGTGTCTCTCTCTCACCGTGTCTCTCCCCGTGTCTCTCTCCCCGTGTCTCTCTCCCCGTGTCTCCCCGTGTCTCTCTCTCCCCCCGTGTCTCCATGCTTAGTCAGCAAGGTGTCTCTCTCTCCCCGTGTCTCTCCGTGTCTCCAGGCTTAGTCAGCAAGGTGTCTCTCTCTCCCCGTGTCTCCTCGTCTCCAGGCTTAGTCAGCAAGGTGTCTCTCTCTCACCGTGTCTCTCACCGTGTCTCCCCGTGTCTCCCCGTGTCTCCAGGCTTAGTCAGCAAGGTGTCTCTCTCTCACCGTGTCTCTCACCGTGTCTCCCCGTGTCTCCTCGTCTCCAGGCTTAGTCAGCAAGGTGTCTCTCTCTCACCGTGTCTCTCCGTGTCTCTCTCTCCCCGTGTCTCCCCGTGTCTCTCTCTCCCCGTGTCTCCCCGTGTCTCTCCCCCCTCGTCTCCAGGCTTAGTCAGCAAGGTGTCTCTCTCTCACCGTGTCTCTCACGGTGTCTCCCCGTGTCTCCTCGTCTCCAGGCTTAGTCAGCAAGGTGTCTCTCTCTCACCGTGTCTCCCCGTGTCTCCCCGTGTCTCCAGGCTTAGTCAGCAAGGTGTCTCTCTCTCACCGTGTCTCTCTCCCCGTGTCTCCAGGCTTAGTCAGCAAGGTGTCTCTCTCTCCCCGTGTCTCCAGGCTTAGTCAGCAAGGTGTCTCTCTCTCACCGTGTCTCTCTCCCCGTGTCTCTCTCTCACCATGTCTCTCTCCCCCCGTGTCTCCAGGCTTAGTCAGCAAGATGTCTCTCTCTCACCGTGTCTCCCCGTGTCTCCAGGCTTAGTCAGCAAGGTGTCTCTCTCTCACCGTGTCTCCCCGTGTCTCCAGGCTTAGTCAGCAAGGTGTCTCTCTCTCCCCGTCTCTCACCGTGTCTCTCTCCCCGTGTCTCCCCGTGTCTCCAGGCTTAGTCAGCAAGGTGTCTCTCTCTCCCCGTCTCTCACCGTGTCTCTCTCCCCCCGTGTCTCCAGGCTTAGTCAGCAAGGTGTCTCTCTCTCCCCGTGTCTCCCCTTGTCTCCAGGCTTAGTCAGCAAGGTGTCTCTCTCTCCCCGTGTCTCCCCGTGTCTCCAGGCTTAGTCAGCAAGGTGTCTCTCCCCCCGTGTCTCCCCGTGTCTCCTCGTCTCCAGGCTTAGTCAGCAAGGTGTCTCTCTCTCCCCGTGTCTCTCCCCCCTCATCTCCAGGCTTAGTCAGCAAGGTGTCTCTCTCTCACCGTGTCTCCCCGTGTCTCTCCCCCCGTGTCTCCAGGCTTAGTCAGCAAGGTGTCTCTCTCTCCCCGTGTCTCCCCGTGTCTCCAGGCTTAGTCAGCAAGGTGTCTCTCTCTCACCGTGTCTCCCCGTGTCTCTCCCCCCGTGTCTCCAGGCTTAGTCAGCAAGGTGTCTCTCTCTCCCCGTGTCTCCCCGTGTCTCCAGGCTTAGTCAGCAAGGTGTCTCTCTCTCACCGTGTCTCTCCCCGTGTCTCCCCGTGTCTCTCTCTCTCCCCGTGTCTCTCTCTCTCCCCGTGTCTCCAGGCTTAGTCAGCAAGGTGTCTCTCTCTCCCCGTGTCTCTCCCCGTGTCTCTCTCCCCGTGTCTCCGTGTCTCCAGGCTTAGTCAGCAAGGTGTCTCTCTCTCCCCGTGTCTCTCCCCGTGTCTCTCTCCCCTCGTCTCCAGGCTTAGTCAGCAAGGTGTCTCTCTCTCCCCGTGTCTCACCGTGTCTCTCTCCCCGTGTCTCTCTCACCGTGTCTCCCCGTGTCTCCAGGCTTAGTCAGCAAGGTGTCTCTCTCTCCCCGTGTCTCTCCGTGTCTCCAGGCTTAGTCAGCAAGGTGTCTCTCTCTCCCCGTGTCTCCCCGTGTCTCCAGGCTTAGTCAGCAAGGTGTCTCTCTCTCCCCGTGTCTCTCCCCCCGTGTCTCCAGGCTTAGTCAGCAAGGTGTCTCTCTCTCACCGTGTCTCCCCGTGTCTCTCTCCCCCCGTGTCTCCAGGCTTAGTCAGCAAGATGTCTCTCTCTCCCCGTGTCTCCCCGTGTCTCCAGGCTTGGTCAGCAAGGTGTCTCTCTCTCACCGTGTCTCCCCGTGTCTCCAGGCTTAGTCAGCAAGGTGTCTCTCTCTCCCCGTGTCTCCAGGCTTAGTCAGCAAGGTGTCTCTCTCTCCCCGTGTCTCTCCCCGTGTCTCCAGGCTTAGTCAGCAAGGTGTCTCTCTCTCCCCGTGTCTCTCCCCGTGTCTCCAGGCTTAGTCAGCAAGGTGTCTCTCTCTCCCCGTGTCTCCAGGCTTAGTCAGCAAGGTGTCTCTCTCTCCCCGTGTCTCCAGGCTTAGTCAGCAAGGTGTCTCTCTCTCCCCGTGTCTCCAGGCTTAGTCAGCAAGGTGTCTCTCTCTCCCCGTGTCTCTCCGTGTCTCCAGGCTTAGTCAGCAAGGTGTCTCTCTCTCCCCGTGTCTCCAGGCTTAGTCAGCAAGGTGTCTCTCTCTCCCCGTGTCTCTCTCTCACCGTGTCTGCTCGTCTCCAGGCTTAGTCAGCAAGGTGTCTCTCTCTCCCCGTGTCTCCAGGCTTAGTCAGCAAGGTGTCTCTCTCTCCCCGTGTCTCCTCGTCTCCAGGCTTAGTCAGCAAGGTGTCTCTCTCTCCCCGTGTCTCCTCGTCTCCAGGCTTAGTCAGCAAGGTGTCTCTCTCTCTCCGTGTCTCCCCGTGTCTCCCCGTGTCTCCAGGCTTAGTCAGCAAGGTGTCTCTCTCTCCCCGTGTCTCCAGGCTTAGTCAGCAAGGTGTCTCTCTCTCCCCGTGTCTCCAGGCTTAGTCAGCAAGGTGTCTCTCTCTCCCCGTGTCTCCAGGCTTAGTCAGCAAGGTGTCTCTCTCTCTCCGTGTCTCCAGGCTTAGTCAGCAAGGTGTCTCTCTCTCCCCGTGTCTCCTCGTCTCCAGGCTTAGTCAGCAAGGTGTCTCTCTCTCACCGTGTCTCCCCGTGTCTGCTCATCTCCAGGCTTAGTCAGCAAGGTGTCTCTCTCTCCCCGTGTCTCCAGGCTTAGTCAGCAAGGTGTCTCTCTCTCCCCGTGTCTGCTCATCTCCAGGCTTAGTCAGCAAGGTGTCTCTGCGCGTGCCGCTGAGCGCCGTCCGCTCCCAGCCTTGGCTGCTCCGGGTCACCGGGGTTTACCTCGTCGCCTCTCAGGGCCCCCACCCCGGCACCGGCGACGATGAGGGGGGCGGCGAGGGGGGCGACGATGAGGGGGGCGACGATGAGGGGGCCGATGGCGACGCTCGTAAGAGGCAGGAGGAGAAGGCGCAGCGGTTGAGGGAGTTGGAGGCTCGCTGGGAGGTGAGTGACGTGTGTACGTGTACGTGTGTGTACGTGTGTGTGTACGTGTGTGTGTGTGTACACTGTGTGTGTGTGTGTGTACGTGTGTGTGTGTGTGTACACTGTGTGTGTGTGTGTGTACACTGTGTGTGTGTGTACGTGTGTGTGTGTACGTGTGTGTGTGTACGTGTGTGTACGTGTGTGTGTGTGTGTACGTGTACGTGTGTGTGTGTGTATGTGTGTACGTGTGTGTGTGTACGTGTGTGTGTGTGTACACTGTGTGTGTGTACACTGTGTGTGTGTAGGTGTACGTGTGTGTGTACGCGTGTGTGTGTATACGTGTGTGTGTACGTGTGTGTGTACGTGTGTGTGTGTGTGTGTACGTGTGTGTGTGTACGTGTGTGTGTGTACGTGTGTGTGTACGTGTGTGTGTGTGTACGTGTGTGTGTACGTGTGTGTGTGTGTACACTGTGTGTGTGTGTACGTGTGTGTGTGTGTACGTGTGTGTGTGTGTACACTGTGTGTGTGTGTGTACACTGTGTGTGTGTGTACACTGTGTGTGTGTACGTGTGTGTGTGTACGTGTGTGTGTACGTGTGTGTGTACGTGTGTGTGTACGTGCGTGTGTGTACTTGCGTGTGTGTACTTGCGTGTATGTGTGCGTGTGTGTACGTGTGTGTGTGTACGTGTGTGTGTACGTACGTGTGCGTACGTGTGTGTACGTGTGTGTGTGTGTGTACGTGTGTGTGTGTGTACGTGTGTGTGTGTACGTGTGTAGGTGTACGTGTGTGTGTGTAGGTGTGTAGGTGTGTACGTGTGTGTGTACGTGTGTACGTGTGTGTGTACGTGTGTGTGTACGTGTGTGTTTGTGTACGTGTGTGTGTGTGTACGTGTGTACGTGTGTTTGTGTACGTGTGTGTACGTGTGTGTACGTGTGTACGTGTGTGTGTACGTGTGTGTGTGTACGTGTGTGTACGTGTGTACGTGTGTGTGTGTACGTGTGCGTGTGTGTACGTGTACGTGCGTGTGTGTGTACGTGTGTGTGTGTACGTGTGTGTGTACGTGTGTGTGTGTGTACGTGTGTGTGTGTATGTGTGTGTGTATGTGTGTGTACGTGTGTGTGTGTGTGTACGTGTGTGTGTGTGTACGTGTGTGTGTGTACGTGTGTGTGTGTGTGTACGTGTGTGTGTGTACGTGTGTGTGTGTGTACGTGTGTGTGTGTACGTGTGTGTGTGTACGTGTGTGTGTGTGTACGTGTGTGTGTGTACGTGTGTGTGTGTACGTGTGTGTGTGTACGTGTGTGTACGTGTGTGTGTGTACGTGTGTGTGTACGTGTGTGTACGTGTGTGTGTGTACGTGTGTGTGTGTGTACGTGTGTGTGTACGTGTGTGTGTGTGTACGTGTGTGTGTACGTGTGTGTGTGTGTACGTGTGTGTGTGTGTACGTGTGTGTGTGTACGTGTGTGTGTGTGTGTGTACGTGTGTGTGCGTGTGTACGTGTGTGTGTGTGTACGTGTGCGTGCGTGTGTACGTGTGTGTGCGTGTGTACGTGTGTGTGTACGTGTGTGTGTGTGTGTACGTGTGTGTGTGTACGTGTGTACGTGTGTGTGTGTACGTGTGTGTGTGTGTACGTGTGTGTGTGTGTACGTGTGTGTGTGTGTACGTGTGTGTGTGTGTACATGTGTGTGTGTACGTGTGTGTGTGTGTGTGTACGTGTGTGTGCGTGTGTACGTGTGTGTGTGTGTACGTGTGCGTGCGTGTGTACGTGTGTGTGCGTGTGTACGTGTGTGTGTACGTGTGTGTGTGTGTGTACGTGTGTGTGTGTACGTGTGTACGTGTGTGTGTGTACGTGTGTGTGTGCGTGTGTGTACGTGTGTGCGTGTGTACGTGTGTGCGTGTGTACGTGTGTATGTGTGTACGTGTGTTTGTACGTGTGTTAGTGTACGTGTGTCTGTGTACGTGTGTCTGTGTGCGTGTGTACGTGTGCGTGTGTACGTGTGTGTGTGTACGTGTGTGTGTGTGTACGTGTGTGTACGTGTGTGTGTGTACGTGTGTGTGTGTGTACGTGTGTGTGTGTACGTGTGTGTACGTGTGTGTACGTGTGTGTGTGTACGTGTGTGTACGTGTGTGTTTGTACGTGTGTCTGTGTACGTGTGTCTGTGTACGTGTGTGTGTGTACGTGTGTATGTACATGTGTGTGTGCGTGGGGGAGCTTTGTCTGTGTCTCAGCACTTGCCCCTACAGCCCTGCTAGAGGCTACCTGGGGGGGCTTTGTCTGTGTCTCAACACTTGCCCCTACAACCCTGCTAGAGGCTACCTGGGTGAGCTTCTCCTTTACCTGTGTGCGACAGAGCGAGCTGAACAAGTCAAGCGGCTCCCTGTGGTCATCTCTGTCCACCTCCATCCTTACCAACATCATCGAGAACGTGCAGGTGGGTGGGTGGGCGAGCGGAGGGGCGAGCGGGTGGGCGAACGGGTGGGCGAGCGGGTGGGCGGGCGGGTGGGCGGGCGAGTGGGCGGGCGAGTGGGGGGGCGAGTGGGCGGGTGGGTGGGTGGGTGCGTGAGTGGGTGGGTGAGTGGGTGTGTGGGTGGGTGAGTGGGTGATTGAGTGAGTGGGTGAGTGGGTGGGTGGGTGGGTGAGTGGGTGAGTGAGTGAGTGGGTGGGTGGGTGAGTGAGTGGGTGGGTGGGTGGGTGGGTGAGTGGGTGGGTGAGTGAGTAGGTGAGTGGGCGGGTGAGTGGGCGGGTGAGTGGGTGGGTGGGTGAGTGAGTGGGTGGGTGAGTGGGTGTGTGGGTGGGTGAGTGGGTGATTGAGTGAGTGGGTGAGTGGGTGGGTGGGTGGGTGAGTGGGTGGGTGGGTGGGTGAGTGGGTGGGTGGGTGGGTGAGTGAGTGGGTGGGTGGGTGAGTGGGTGGGTGGGTGAGTGAGTGGGTGGGTGGGTGAGTGGGTGAGTGGGTGAGCGGGTGGGTGAGTGGGTGAGTGGGTGGGTGATTGACTGAGCGAGTGGACGGGAGGGTGATTGAGCGAGTGGCCTTCCTGTGCATGTGTGTGTGCGCGTGCGTGTCTGTGTGTGTGTGTGTGTCTGTGTGTGTGTCTGTGTGTGTGTTTGTCTGTCTGTGTGTGTGTCTGTGTGTGCGTGCGTGCAGCTGAACGTGAGCGATGTTCACGTGCGGCTGGAGGTGTTGGACAGCGACTCTGGACGCCTCTCCGCGCTGGGACTCTGCTTGTCCAACGTGGCCGTTCAGAACGTGGCTCACCAACCCCAGGTGTGGTTCGCGATGGTTAGCGGTGGTTAGTGGTGGTTAGTGGTGGTTAACGGTGGTTAGTGGTGGTTAGTGGTGGTTAGCGGTGGTTAGCGGTGGTTAGTGGTGGTTAGTGGTGGTTAGCAGTGGTTAGCGGTGGTTAGTGGTGATTAGTGGTGGTTAGTGGTGGTTAGTGGTGGTTAGCGGTGGTTAGTGGTGGTTAGCGGTGGTTAGCGGTGGTTGGCGGTGGTTAGTGGTGGTTAGTGGTGGTTAGTGGTGGTTAGTGGTGGTTAACGGTGGTTAGTGGTGGTTAGCGGTGGTTAGCGGTGGTTAG